TTCGTCGTCTCGTCCTCATCCTCGTCCACCCGCTGACTCCCTGGCCACCCCTCCCTCCCTCGCGCCAGAAGGCAGACGAGACACCCTCAGCATGACCCCCCCCCCACGAGCGAAGCTCTCGAGTGAGCGCGCCCGGGGAGGGCATCGAACAGGGCAGGACTGCTCTGGTAAGCGCCCCGAGCTGCTCAGTCCACGTCGGCCATGGGGGTCGGGGTGGCCTCTCCTCTCCTGACCCGCCCGCGGCCCTGGCCCTCCGCGCCCGGGGCCTGCTTCACCTTCACCGCGGCCTGCCTGGTGAGCCTCGGAACAACGGGGTCGCGGCGGAGACCGAGGAGCCCTCCCCCTCCCGCCCTCCTCCCGCTCACCTCCCTCCCCTCCTCCTCTCTTCCGCCCTTCCTCCCTCCCCACCTCCTCATCCCTCCCCTCACTGATCCCTCCCTCCCTCCCTCTCTCCCCTCCTCCTCCTCCTCCTCCTCCTCCTCCCTACCTCCCTCCCTCCTTATCTCTCCCTGCCTCCCCCCTCCTCCTCATCCCCCGTCAGACTCAAGCCGGGCCCGTTCCCCCGACACCGCCCTGGGCCAACTCCCCCCCCTATACGCATGCCCTCTCCCCCCCGACCGATCTGTGGCGGCCCGCCGGGGGCCCCGAACGACGGGCCCCCGCAGGCCGACGGGACGCCGAGCAGAGCTCCTCGGGCCTCGATCGGCGACGACGGCGGCGGCGCCCCTGCCGAGGAGCCTTTCTTAGAGGGCAGGGAGTCCACCCCCATTAAGAGTCACCCCGACGTGCGGGGCCGTCGAGTGAGCGCACCCACAGAAGGGTTCGAACAGGGCGGGGCTGCTTCATGTACGCCCAGGGCCGTTCAGTACACGCCAATTTCAAGGGGCCCAAGGACGCACAAATAAATACACACAAACAAAATGATTCCCCATATTTTTCCATATGTCCTCGGTTTTTGTCTTCCCGCCCACTTCCCATATTTTCCCATATTTTCCTGGGAGTCGACGATCAATTGTGTCTGTGTGTGATTTTTCCCGTCTGACAATGGTCGGGTTGGTTTTGCCCCCCTGACTTTCGGCTGCGCGCAAGGGGTGACCCCAAGCGAGAGCGGCCTGGGGCGCGCGGCTTCAGGGGGTCGCGGGGGGGGGCAGATCCAAGCGCGCAGGCAAGTGGTGGGGGGACTCCTGCGTGCCTGTGATCTACGTAAGTCAAGCGGCCCTGGGACACACAAATAAATACACACACAAAAAAATGATTCCCCATATTCTCCCATATTTTCTTGGTTTGTGTTTCCGCCCCCACTTCCCATATCTTCCCATATGTTCCTGGGCATGGGCGATTCATTGTGTCTGTGTGTGTTTTTCCCCCTCCTGAGTAAGAGTGGTCAGCATCGAAATGGGACATCGGATCGGATCGGAACGTGCGTCGGATCGGGCCGCATCGGCACGTGGTCGGAATCGAATCGGATCCGCTGCGCCAGGATGCGGCCGTGGAAACATCGGGCCGCACCAAATCGCCAGAGGAGCGGATTCGAATCGGGTCGAGCCGGCCAACATCGATGCCGAATCAGATCGATCTCGTCGACCAGATCTAAATATACGCAGAAAGCATCTATACACCACCACCGTGCCTGGCACGGTGGTGGTGTATAGATGCCTTCGTCGGAAAATGGACCCTGGAGGAGCCATCCCGGCGGGACGGTCACTCCTGCGCGCAGCTGGGAATCGTGGGTGCTTCGCGGCTTTCTGGTCAGAGCTCGGGTCTCAGTCGGCCCTTCGGGACGGTCCGGACACGATAACCGGCGTTGACTGAACGGCGCTGGGCGTTCACTAAACAGCCCTGCCCTGCTCGACTCCTTCTGTGGGTGCGTTCACAAGACGGCTTCGCGTGTCGCAGTGATTCCCATGGGAGTGGATTATGATTCTCTGCCCTCCTCGAGGAGGGCAGAGAATCATAATCCACTTCCATCGAGGGGAGCCGCCGTCGTCGTCGTCGATCGAGGCTCGAGGAGCTCTGCTTGGCGTCCTGTCGGCCTGCGGGGGCCCGTCGTTCGGGGCCCCCGGCGGGCCGCCACAGATCGGTCGGGGGGGAGAGGGCATGCGTATAGGGGGGGGAGTTGGCCCAGGGCGGTGTCGGGGGGACGGGCCCTGCGGGACGGTCCGGACCACCCCGGGAGTGCCATCGGCGAGGAAGCGCAGCCGTCGCAGCGCCTCTGGGGCACACCGGCACGGGGGGGAGGGGCGGGCTCCGGAGGGGGAGCAGCGCCCAGGGATCGGCGAGTCATCTCCGACCCCTCCTCCCTCCTCCCCCCTCCCTCCTCCCCTTCCTCCCCCTCCTCCTCCTCCTCCTCCTCCTCCGTCTCCGTCCCGACCCCTCCTCCCTCCTCCCTCCTCCCCTTCCTCCCCCTCCTCCTCCTCCTCCTCCTCCTCCTCCTCCTCCTCCTCCTCCTCCTCCTCCGTCTCCGTCTCCGACCCCTCCTCCCTCCTCCCTCCTCCCTCCTGGATCGGCGACGGGCTCCCGATGGCGCATCCGCGCGCTCCTGGGCAGGGTGGGGCTAGCAGCCCCCGTATCGGCGACCAGTGGACGGCTGCGGCTGCAGGTCGATGCAGTCCGCGCTGAGTCCACAGTCGACCCACACAGTCAGGATAGGCAGCCATCCCCTGGCCATCGCTCGGACGTCCATTCCCTGTGTTTTGTTCGGTTTCGTGCGCGGCTTTTACTCAAAATGATCAAGGATGCTCCTCGATGGTCCTCGCCGAAGGAGAAATGCACACGTCCGAGCGATGCCAAATCCCCAGGGCACTCTCGCCTCCTTGTCCCTTCCGGCCCATCTTCAGCAGCTCTCGCTGGCCAGCCTCGCTCGAACAACGCCATCGGGGCCCTCCGAGGCGCCTGCGTCCTTACCCCGCGCATCATTGTGACACGTGTCTGGCCATCGCTCGGACGTCCATTTACTGTGCTGTTTGATTTCGTGTGTGTTTTTTTCGCCAAATGATCAAGGATGCTCCTCGATGGTCCTCGCCGAAAGAAGAATGCACACGTCCGAGCGATGACAAGCCCTAAAAAAAAACCGTCAAAAACCTGACCGGACAAGAACGAGAAGCGCCGTTTTTGTCCACAAAAAGCGTGTCAGAGAACGCATGGTGGAGAACGTCAACGAAACCCAGGAACGCAACACAACAAGTGAAGACACCTGCTGTCGGTTCACTGCGATGGCCTGCCACGCTAGTCAGCCGTACTGGTCTGTCGAGCTAATCTGCCGCCCCGGGAACATGATGGCGCCTCCGACGCAATACACCTGCGTAAGTTACGCTACATTTGCGAGCCCGAAGCCATACACCCTCGTAAATTATGCGCCATTCGCGTATCCGAAGCCATACACCCTCGAAATACAACACCGAAGTCAACAATATCATCATAATCTCAATGTGTCTTCCCGATTATAGGGGGCAAGCAAACACACCTCGCTTTTGACCACCCTCGCTTCCAAGAGATACCAAGCGATGCCAAACTACGGCCTGTACTGGTCAGGCCACTTGACGAGGAGGCGCGTGGTATGCCTTGGTTTTGCCTGGAAGCGAACGCGGGGTAGGTAATTCACGCTCTGAGATTACTCATAGTCTTCGCGTGAAGTCCCGACGCTGCTTCGCAGCGGCGCCACGGCCTCATGATCTCGCTCTTGCATGGCCCATTATCCGAGCGAGGGGGCCGGCGGCAGGGGCGAAGCCCTTGCGGATACATTGACGTTTTTTTTGTTGTCGGTGCTTGCGTGGTGGGCGCTGATTAGTTAAATGTCGGGCGTGTCCCCGTACAGGGGGATTTCCGATGAAAAATAAAACATACCCCACAAATACCCCAAAAAGGTAAAACAAATAATCCAAAAATAGTCCCCTGACTATTTTTGTTGTATTTTTTGCCTATTTTGGGGGTATCTTTTATTCTTCGTCGAAATCCCCCTGTAGGGGGACAGGCCCGACTTAAAATTACTTCACTGCTGGCATGAGGTTTTCCGCCCAGACGCAGGGGTGTCCGAAATCGGGCAGCACCCTCACATCACTGAAGAACGCGTTTTCGATCTATGTTTTTGACGAGGCTCGTAGTCATCGCTGCCCCCGAGCACCCCGAGGCAGGGCATCGCGCACCAGAAGAACCAACGACGGCGCCAGAAGCCCTGCGAAGGCCTCAGAAAGATGAAAAACGTGCGCGGGCCGAGGGTCGGCGGCGAGCGAGGGGGGGAAGAGGAGGAGGAGGAGGAGGAGGAGGAGGAGGAGGATTGAGGAGGAAGAGAAGGAGGAGGAGGTGGAGGAGGAGGGAGGAGAACGTGGAGGAGGAGAAGGAGGAGGCCTTCTCGGAAGGCGGCGGGACTCCTCCGAAGCCCTCCCGCCTTGCGATCGTTTTCATACTCATTGTTTTGCTGATCGGCGCGGGCCCTCGCACCCTCCCTCCCTCCCCCTGAGTAGATCTTGGCTGTTTTTGGCACCTGCTTCGCAGGTAGAGCCTCCCCAGAGGACGCACTGCTGCAAACAGTCGCTTTAAGCAGAGGTCCGGAGCCAGACCCCCCCCCCTCCCCCCTCTTTCCGCCTGATATCGAAACGCCGGATAAGAAACGCTTACCTTCTGAGACGCTTTCCGTGCATGTTCGGAGAAGGCTCAGCAAACTTCTCAGAGAGCCGGAGGCCTCCCGAGCCTTCCGATGAGGCCTCCTCCTTCTCACTTCCCCCCTCGCTTTCGGGGGCGCATCGACCCTGGTCAATGAAACACCCGGGTCAGTCAGTCTGTGCAAGGTCCTGCAAGATCCTGCGCGCAAGGCCTGGTCAATGCACCCCTGGCTTTGCGGGACCCTGCAGCATCCGGCGCTTTGGCTGACCACCGTTTGCATTGACCCCCGGGCCAAAACTCACGACGCTCGCCGCCGAGAGGGGGGCCGGCCCGCTGCTGGGCGGCTGGCTCGACCTTGTCCTTGACCTTCCCCACGGCGGCCTCGAGACCCGCGCGCCGGG